CCTGGGTGAAGTGAGAAAAATACGTGTAAAGTGCCTTCTCCAAGGACACAACGTCGGCCCGCGGCTCGAACCTCCGAACCCGCAACCTCACGAATACGAGTCTGGTAGCCTAACCACTAAGCCACCGATACACACACACACATACACACACATACATACACGTACACACACACGCACACACACACAAACACACACATACACACATACACATACACAGTATACACACAAACACACACATACACACATACACATACACAGTATACACACAAACAGCTGTACTCACACACTTCAGTACACAAAATTCGTTTAATACTGGAGAAATTACATACTGCAGTTTTGAACCACATTAATTCAACGTTTACGATAATGACTGATCATGTATAACTTGCAAAGTCCCCGTTCTGAGAAACCTGTAAAGGGTCCAATATTCGTATTTCCTATAAAGTCTCTCACCTCTCAAACCCTGTATTTACGATGTAAAACCCCTTCCCTTAGTTTTGAAGCTCTTACTACATTTTCCCAGCCACATAAACATCGCTTCCTACGTACTTGTGTCTGGGGGTTTTCTATTTAAGTTTGCTTTCTGCCTCTTTCGTGTATCGGTTTGTTTTGATTAATGTCCTTCCTACGTCCACGATTTCTATAATGTTTGTTTTGTGTCTGTGTCTGCTCATTTATATTTGTATTTGTCTTTGTTTGGTTTGCGTTTGTATTTATTTGGATTTTTTTGGTAATTTTTTTTCTTTGCTTTCAAACTTGTCCCAGTTGTCAAGTTCTTGCAGTAAAAAAACCCCCGTAATTTATCTCTATGAAAACAGCCGTATCAGGTGCTTCACTTTCTTGTTCTTTCAACACTTTTTTCTTCTTCTTCCCTGTTCAAAAGCTCACTTATATCATACTTTTCATACTATACCTAAAATGACTGGCATTTCAGTCTCTTTGTCTCCACCTCGCTTCGACAACTTCAGCCTTTAATTCATTTCAAAGTTGATCCATCTATAGGTCCGCGTCGTTTGGGGTTTTTGCTCGGAAAAAGGGTGTCGTTTCTAGAGATTTAGCGTAATGCACGTATTCACCTCAGTCACCCCCCCCCCAACTCTTTCCTTTATTGTCACATCTTTCTCATGAATGTTAGTTGTGTAATGATCAAGCTCTTAACCTTACAAGTCACAGGCGTGAGTTCGATTTCTTAGTAGAATAGATATTTCTATAGTTCCTCAACCTTTATGCTAGAATGTAAGCCTGCACACCCCGGATGAATGTGGCAATCTTGGTTGAAGCAGCTCGTCTCCAAAATAGTCTTAATTGAGATAATAGAAGCAAGTGATACATATGTTTAGTTTTAGTAAGGTTTTACGGCGCTCGCAACTACATAAGGTCATATGAGCGCCAAGGGGTGGATGTCAACAGAGAAGTCCAAACGGGGAATCAGGCTTACTCTGCTCACCTCTCCATCCTGAACAGCACAAAGTCTGCTTCGACTATCAAGTCGCCCGGAAATAGCAATTCACAAGACAGTGACAAATATACAAATGAAGTAGAAGAAAAATGACGATAGTAAGGGTGAGGAAAGAAAAAGAAGCATTTCCCCCTTATGTTGTTCTGGCACAGTATGAGCATGACATAGATAAATCAGCCCATTTACAATTCTATAGTGCATATGAATATGTTAATATCTCCCCCTTGGGAATGGCCTAAAGACACTTCCGTCAGTATCACTGCCCGGGG